TAAGTAATATTAAGTGGATGTGATTCTTAATTATGTTATTTATGGCAATGTCATAATTTTCTAAGTAAGGAAAGATTCCCATCGGCCAAGTTTCAATTGGACAGAAGATTGGAATCATATGATTTGAATCATGTGATGTATAGAAATCTTGATACTTATAAATTTGAAGGCTAATTCCTTGACAAAGAGTCAAGTGAAGGACTAGGAGATCGAGTTCACAATGTTGATCACTTGTCAAGTCCACCATAAATAACAATAAGATTATTCGTCATGATTTGCTAAAAGTCTAGTAGACGTGATTATGCTTACAAGATTAAGTATAATTCTGAATCACTGAAAGTTTCAATGAATGGTAGAACGAATAAGGTGAATCAATTAGGCAGAAAGATAAAAGTTTCTCCAATCTAAGAAGAAGGGAGAGTACTTTTGTATCGTATTTTATGATCGTCTTAAGAACCATATTACAATTCACCCTCTAAAGACACCTTAGTACACTAGTTTGGCTAAGAAGAGGAATCAGGGATTGTTGTAATGGTTAAGTCAATAAGATGAATCGTACTTAGTTGAAAAATCAAGTCTTAGAGTCAGACTCCAAGATTGTGACTTGAGTGATATAATCTACAGTAGGAATGTTCTTACTTTTGCACTTTTTGGTAAGTTGTGATGTCTTGAATAAGACAAAGACCAACTAGTACCAAATTATGTGTAGGTTTTGTCTTGATAAAGACACACACTAACTCTTGAGTATTTGTTTGTCAAGAAATTTTTCTTTACAAGAGAATCTTATATGTCAAGAGGTCAGTGGGAATCTAAATGATCTTGAAAAGGTTCAAAAACTAATCAAAAGTAAACCTATTATGAAATACTAGCACACAACTTGAGGTTTGTAACCTATCATATTAACATATTCTTGTTTCTATGCCATTCCAGTTTGGTCAAATCTGCATGTGAGTTCTATGAGTTCTCAATAGGTTGCATAGGGGCAAGACACATTGATCAATGGAAAGTACGTTGAAAGGTAGGGGTGAGCTGCTCAATAACTTGGAAGTAATGGTGGGACCCTTGATGGCAAGAAATTAAGATTAGATAAGTTCAGTCCATATGAGTTGGATTTGTCACAAACATTGTCTCATGATTATGGTTATGACAAATTCACATGGATAAGAACACATACACCATAAAATCTACGTTTCATAAGGTTTCTCTCCTTCATGAAAATGTTTATGAGGAAACGCTTTCACTACGAAAGATTTTGAAGATAGCATTGTGTAATTTGCATTTCTCGAATTCGAGTATGACTACGACATCCCTCTTCATAGTTCAAATTATGAGATTTGGCAAATTAGTTTAGACATTTGAGACTTATTACTATAAGGTCTAGAATCGTTTAGACACACACATGGGTTATATAAGGAAAGGTGTATGAGTTTGGGAAGTTTAGATAAAAGTTTATCGAAGCATCTCGTATCAGAAATATGAACTTTGGTAAGAAAGTCAATAAGCATTGATTCTAAAAGTCCAATTGTTTTCTGAATACATATCAAAGCTAGTGAGAGCATAAATGTTATGTTGGTAAAGATATAATCATCGTGATAGTTCGATCATGATTATTATTTCAAATGTTGCGAGTCAGCAATATTAATTATAGAAAACAAATGTTTTACTTTGCAAAGCTGCAAGGGTTAACAAGTTGTTTTGCTATAATTAAGGGAGAGAATATTATACTTCGTTTCGAAATTTAAAAGCTTAGGTCAATAGATTTTAATCAAATCTAGTCAAATATATGAATTGTGTTCTCAAAATTTGATTATGATTACGACATCCATTTTCATAGTTCGAATTGTGAGAACATGAAAAATAGAAATATTATGGCAAAAGACTGGTAAAGTATTACATCTTTATGTAAGACATTATGCTTCGTGTTCCATACGCTTTGGGTATAGGATCGATCGCATATGATATAATATTTCACCGTTCTAAAATTTTCCAAATGCCTAGGGCATTAAGAGGAAAAAGGACTAGAACTAGACATGACTAAATTTATTAAACAACCAACAAAGGACAATTTAAGGTTCGCCAAGAATTGGTCGCTTATGAGCAGTTGGAAGTATAGTAGTGGATGCACCATACTGACATTATTATTATTAGATATGATTCTATTAATGATGAGTTGTCATATGGAAATATGGAAATGTTTCCATATGTGGAAATTGGATATTAAGAATCTATGTCTAGATTAGAAAACTTTTATGCAAGAAAGATGTTCAAAGGAATGTACTTTGAATGTGAGACTTCATATCTATGGAATTATCTTGCAACAATCTCCAATAGAAGACTTTGTAATTTCATTGGCAATAGCCTTTGTGACTTTGGTGCTGTGACATTACAAAAGGATCATTACATAAAATGTTAGAATCTAACATATTCTATAAGTGGCGAAAATTGGGTATTCTTACACTTGTGGTAAGGATTAGGAATTGTGAAAGGAGTGTGATTCGAAATATTATTCAATTATACTATTTCACATAGTAAAGACCATAGGTAAACATAATGTGCATGTTGAGAGTATGGGACAACTTTTGTTATAATTCAAGTAATATGTTGATTAACCGAAACATTAAACAATGAATAATGCGTAATCAATATGGTGATTAAATAAAAGGAGTTTTATTTATACTCGAAAGTTTAGGGTCATATTGGATTCGATTATTATTGTGTTTCACTTTGCATGTTATGACTTCCTGAAGAATAAGATTATTCGAACATTCCACAGTCATTCATACTTTGGGAGTAGGTATAAAAGAAGATTGTCATGAATTGGTTTGTAGGTTGTCTAAAGTGTATTAGACATAGGAAATGTTTGCTACAACGTTTATGAGTGCTTATGAATATGATTTGAGCATTGGATTAAATCCATGCTCACTTGGATCGCTGGATTTCTTCACGAGCGATTAGTGTGATGATAATATCTTATATTCTTGAAACCGAGATGTGTGAGTTGTATCTTGAGAGTTAGTCACACATTAATAATATGTAAACTCACCAGTAACTTGGTGTTATAAAACGTATTATTGTGTGTGATTCGGTGAGTGAGTACAAGCGAGCATTGAGTCGAAGTTTATCTGTTCCTTTTACCCAAAGTAGGATAAAAGCGATATTTGTGGGCGCCCCACGATGATTTAGTGATGACAAACGTAAGAGCTCGGCCGGGCAAGGACTAATTTGATTTGTTCAATTAGTCGGTCGTTATAAATCAGAAATCGAGAAACAACACATGAACAGAGAGTATGATTAAAATCCATATCTCAGTTCATACGATATCTAGACTGGAGGAATATATATGATCCCTTATCTAAAGGACGCGTATATGATAAGATCAGAGTTGACAGCGGCTTTTGAAAACTACAATTGCTGATCAAGATCTGAAGTCATACACATAATAGTTATTAGACTTATCCAAGTGGGAGACTGTTGGATTAGTGTGTAAGCCCATAACTATTTTGGTATGTACTTGACCCGATTGCAAGCATGGTCCTTTTGGGTTGCCTTCACCAAAGCAACTTGATAGGATGATTTGTGGAGAAAGAGATCAATTATGATCTATTAATATATTATATGAATAATATAATAAAAGAGAAATCATATTTTTTTAATTAATATTATTAGTCAAGAATTAATGAGAATTAATTTTGTGGCTAAAGTATATTAATTAAATAAAGGGGACTAGAACTGTCAATTGTATGATAGTTAAATATTGGGCTAATGGACTCCATAAAGGATGGAGTAGACGAAATCTATAGGGAAACCCATAAGAATTCGTCCAAGGCCTCTAAGGAGGGAATCTATGGGCTGCTTAGGGCCTAAGCAGTGAGATTAGGGTTTCCTACTTCAAAACCCTAATAGCCTCACATATATAAGGACCCCTAGGGCACCAAAAATGTGGTTAAGCATTCCTTAGGGTTCTTGGACATTTTTTGGTGCCTCCTTCTCTTCTCCTAAGTCATCCTCTTGCTCTTGGTGTTTGTGAGCCATTAGAGGTGTGACACTTGTAACACTAAGCTTCCAGAAGCCAATTGCAAGGAGGAATTGAGAATTGTTATTGCTACATAACAATCAAGGTAAGATCCAAACCCTAATTCATATGTTAATTCCATTATTGTATGGTAGATCTAGGGTTTATGGCTTTTGATGATTATTGCATGTTCATTACACATACTAGATCCAAAGCTATAGGGTTTGCATGTACAACATAGGAATGATGTAGTGCTTAAAACCCATCACTACTAACGCTAAAGAGAGGAGAAAAATTAGAAAGTTATATTTGGATAATAAAAAATCCAAAATAACTTCTAATACATCTGCGCATCAAAAATCATCTACTACATATATTTTTCACATGTCGAATAACGGTATAAAGAAGTTTTTATAATTTTATAAAAACTTTGTACAATTTTATTATTTATATCAATTTATGTTTCTGTTTTGTTTAAATTTATAATTTTCTAACATATCTACAAACACAAATTGCTGATTTGATATTCAAACCATTATTATTTCTTAATTTCAACTAATAATTATATAATTATGAAATTATTGACAAAACATTACTCAATAACTAAGTTATAATTTAATTGAAATTATTTTTAAATTTTCTTACTCGTAATGTCCACGGGTTATAACCTAGTTAACTTAATAACACCCGATTAATTCTCAAATTAATGCAACAACAATTTAATTACCTTATATATAAATGCAATAACAAATCCTATATTTATTCATTAGAAGATGGTGTGGTTTGATTTTGACCATCGCACAGGTTCACCTACATTTCAATGTTCTTTAATTTTAACCATCACAACTATGATTTTGGGGATATTTTGATATATAATAATGAATACACAACTTAATCCATCGTCTTGCTAAAACTTGGTGCAAGATTATAGATGAGAGTGGGATTTTTAATATGACGATGAGGGGTTTGGTTCAATCATAAATAACCAATGCATAGCGTCCAGATGAAAGGTAATGCCAGTGTCCTTCCGGTAAGATTCTCCTTCTCCGGCGAATTCCTGAGTTTTTCGGCGCAAGCTATGGTGGGATGTGCTGCCGTCGTAGAAATTATTAGATGGTGTGTAGGTCAAATTCTTTTTTAAATACATAAACTTATATATAATTAACAAATACATAAAAATAATGTTAAATGAAGGGTATATTAATCTTTTTATTTAGATCATAGACCAAGCCTAAACCAAATCCAATTGATAGGAACGACGTGAAAAAATAAATTTAGAGTCAAACATGCAGGTTACCCCAAATCACAGTGACCATGCATGCAATTTATCTAAAAAATTTAAAAAAAGCTAGGTGTATAACTACAAACTATTATGTAAATGAAATATATGTAACTAAGAGTTTTCAAAATGTTTTAGTGTTGTCTTTATCTTGTAAACGAACATGGACAATGGTTTGTTTAGGTTTATTCGTTTAAGTTAGTGGAACAAACAAACGAATACAAATAGATAATCAAACGAATTTTCTTGCTCATGTTTGCTCTTTTAACAAATTATATTGTTTATGTTGGTTCGTTTGTGTTCGTGAACATGCTAAACGAACAAAGATAAACAAATATAATCGAACATATATACAAATATAAACGAACATGTAATATAGTAATGTCATAAAAAGCAATTGAAGATATATGACCATAAATGAACTTAAACAATTTGTGTTCGTTCGTTTAACCAAATGAAAAATAATTTGTGTTCATGTCCATTCATTTATTAAATAAACAAATTTCGTATTGAACGGTTCTATGAACGAACGTTTCGTTTACGACCCTAGTTGTCTTAGCCTATAATTTTTTTCATACAAAAAATATTTATCTTAAACAAAAACTCTCTTTACCTTTTTTTTTTTTTTTTTTTTGAATAGAAAATCTACTCTACTCCTAAACAAATTAAACTACTTCCAGAACCACTTATGTCCTTTTCGGGACTTCAACACAGTAGCGGACCTATGTAGGGCATTTGGGGTCCCGGGCCACTGCTCAATTTCCGGCACGCAGTGTAATTTTTTTTTATTTTTTTTATTACGTGCACCCGTTTGAAGTACGAGGGACACCGCTACTAAAATAGTCTGCGTCCGCCACTGCTCCCCCAATTCTAACCCTACTCCCAACCTCTCCAATGCAAACCCAAACAAAAACCCATCGACAAACACTAACCCACCATGGGCAACATGCCCTAGAGACGCCTTGAAACTAGGAGTGTGCGCCAATCTTCTTAGGGGGTTGATTAGTGTTGAGGTGGGTTTGCCACCATTAAAGCCTTGCTGCTCTCTTTTCCAAGGACTTATCGACCTTGAGGCTGCTCTCTGCCTTTGCACTGTCATCAAAGCCAACGTGTTGGGTATCAATCTCGATGTACCACTATCTCTCAGCTTGCTACTTAATGCTTGTGGCAACAAAGTCCCAAGTGGCTTCAAGTGTGCCTAACTCAAGCTATATGACTTGATCGTTACATCTGGGTTTTACATTGTACGACATTGTGTGTTGAGAATTATGTTGGTGACAAGTCAGTCCTTTCACCTTTTCATACATAAAATTTATTTTTGTTCATATTTCTTGGAAGTATACGATCCTTCACCTTGGTTCACATCATGACTTTTGTACAACATTTTCTCTTATCCTTGTATTGATGAGTAACTATAGTGTTTTCTCATTGAACATGTAAAAGTCATATAATTATACTGTATCCCTTTTATTCTAAATGTTATTAATAATAAAGTTTTAGCGGAACAATTTGTTTTTGGAACACCAAGACTTTTAACATAATAAAAGCTAGCGAGAAGTGGACTTAATACATTCCGATATATGGTTGTTACTTTTCAACCAATTTAAAACTGTAATCTTTCGGTATCTCGCCAAAACTTTGTTGCTCGTGTTTTGGACAACGGATTAGTTGGTTAGTATGTTATTATACTCCTTGTCCTTCGAACCTGGGGCTTCTACTCCAAAATGTGTTTTGGTTAGTATGTTAGCATACTCCATAGTTACTTTCAAACATGAGGATTCTACTCCATGAGGTATTAACCACTACCAACAAATTAGTATATAATATTGGGAAATTTAGAGTTGCATGTAGCCTTTGTTTTACCCACTAACAATGTTCCGCTTTTAGTTTCAGGTAACACCTGAACTAAAAGTGGAAGGTTGGATCAAAAATTTTAATGGTCTAGATGAAAGATGGTATATTTGTAATTATCACAAATTTTAATGGTAGTTATCTATTGTTTTCATTTTTTCCATGTTCCATCGTCTTTTATGCCTATATTTTAACCAAAGGAGTTTCCACGGTTCCATTTCCCGATTTCAGATCCAATATAGACGTTAGCTCATGACCTTCCGTTCCTACTGTGGGGAAATGTTAGCTATCATATGTATAATATATATTCCGTATGTATTATTTATAAGTTATCCCATGTATGTATTCTATGTGTATTTATTCGATCGTACAAGGAAAATGTGAATTATGGGAAGATATCCTTGAACTAACTAGACCTTAGCTTTTGATTGGGTCAAAAGTAAACGCATGAGGAAATCTATATGACCCTGGTTCTCTAGTAAAATGGCGATGTCATGTTCGTTGCAAGTAAAACTATGTAAATGTTCTTGCATTCTAGACACTACAAGAAATAAGGCCTATGCAGACGTATCCGACGACACGTCGTCGGTATAGAGTCGACTAAAACTTTTTGACCTGAGAATATATCGAATATACAGAGACATTAAATCGTCAGTATACCTTAGGCAGGAAAAAAAAAAGTATTTATGCGGTTTCCCTCAAAACTTTTGTAGACGATAAGTCGTCTATATAGCTTACGCCAAATATAGGTTTTATATTCAATTTTGAAGAAAATAGAAATGGCGTTGGTTTTTGTGGGCTATCCCGACGACAAGTCGTCGGTATAGAATGACAGCGATCCGTGTGATACACCAGGTCAACTCAGTGCTGACGACATGTTGTGGGTAAATATGTTTCTTCATTATTTTATTTTTAATTTACGAAAAGAGTAAACGAAGTCGTATGACTTAACTCTATACTGATGATATGTTGTCCGTATAGTGTTTTAACTATTTTGTTTCGTTCAACCCCTTCTCATTTGCAACGCCACACAAAAAACTTGTTCCCTTTCTCTCGATCGACGATTGTCCGTCCAAAGTACCTCCGCCACTCGTCTTCACCACCGACACAGGTATGCCGTAATTCACTCGTTCTTCTCCGATTTCCGTCTTTTTCGGGTTCGATTTTAAGATTTTGGGTTTTTTTTTGTCTTTGTTCTTTATTTGTTTCTCCATATGGTTGTCACCGGAGGTTTGACCACCTTCAATGACGTCTATTATGACGTTCGGCCACCACAGTATCCGTTCCAGGTAAGGTTTTCTAATTTTTCAGTTTTTTTACCCTAATACCGGCTATTTTCCGGTGAACACCAGCCACCACGTCGACTTCCCACTTCCGGACACTCCCGACTTGCTACTTCCGGCCATCACACCACCCACCGCCACAGAAAAGATAAGTTTTTTTTATTGGATATTGTGTATTAAAATGTAAATTTTGATATATATGTTGTTTGATTTCATGTTTATAATTCTTTGAAAATGTATACGACTTCTATTGCGACTTCTGGCCACCGCACCACCCTGTCCCGACGACATGTCGTCGGTAAAGGTGACCTTTATATTGACGATAGGTTGTCGGAATAGGTTTATAATAACCCTTTTTTTCGTCGAAAATTAGTCCCGAGACCTTTTGAAGATGACATGTTGTCGGCATTAGTGGCTCTCTACCGACGACATCTATCCCGACGTCATTTTCCACTTTTACTGACGGGGTTATTCCACCGATTTTGTACAGACAACAAGTCGTCAGTATATGCTTTTACGATGGCATGTCATCGGCATAGTTGTTGTGGCGCAGGAACTTCAGTTGCACTTTCTACATCAACAATGACTCTAGGAATGTTTTGAAAGTACATGCTGAAATTGATAAAAAGTGAAGCATCAGATGAAGAGATATTTTGAAGTACATTGACATTGTCTACATTTTCGTGTTATCCATTGTCAACATTTTGGACAGGATCATCGTTCGATGGAAGATCCCAAATACTTCGATGATTAACGTGCTCTACAACACACTGATGGTTATTGTTTGGCTCTCAGATGTAGAACACTTGTTTGGCTTGTGAAGCATATATAAGTTGATCATCATTGTATTCTTTGCATCGTGTGTTAATACTGGTGCAATTATCACTAGAAATAAATCTTGTTCGAGTATCAAACCACTTGCAACGAAATAGTACGGTTGAATAATCATGTCTATACCTCAACTCTATAATCTCTTCTAACTGGCCATAATATATCTTGCCTTTCTCATCTACCGCTAAAACCCCAAAGTTTTGTGTTGTACGTTGTGACTGACAACTAAGTACCATAAACCTAACACCGTTGACTATGCATGTGGTGTAAGAATAAGAATTCATTTGCAGACCCATTGCAAGAGCCGCCAAGTCTTTGTGGAATGGTGGAGAGTTTTCTATTTTCATTTGATGAACCTAGCAAATATAAAGTAATATGTATTATGTATTCTATAGATCAATGCAAAATATTGTTTATTAATTTATATTACCTTTTCACGAAACCAATTACGAAATTCTCTCTTTTCATCACTTTGCGGATGTTCAGATTTGAATTTCCTATGTTGATGACCAAAAGATATAGATTTAAAAAGATAAAAAAAAAAATAAGGATGAAAGTTAGAGATAAGAATAGTTACTTGATATATTGTGTGACTTCTTCACCGCTGTTCAATACAAACCATTCCATGTTACACATTTCCATTAAATCAAGAGTTTTGATTTGAGTTGTGCTGGTCGGTCGACATTTAGACTCAAACATCCAAAACTTTGTTTTTTCAATGACACCATATTCATTTCTTTCCGGACGATTGAATTGATTCTCTACATCTCGACGGTACATCGAACAAAATGATAAAGCTTCTTCAGCAACATAACCATCAGCTATAGAACCTTGCGGCCACACCTTTTTTGTGACATAATTTTTTAGTTTTTTGATATACCTTTCGAAGGGATACATCTATTTCATACATACTAGGCCTCTAGAAATCACTTCATCGGGTAAATTCAAAAGTAAATGAACCATACTGTCAAAAAACGTTAGAGGATGAATCAATTCTAACTTTCACAAGATTTCAATAATGTCTACTTTTGCTTTCCTCATATCCTCCACCTTCAATGTTTTGGAACACAGTTTCTTGAAAAACATACAAAGGTCTACAATAGGTGTATAAATGTCTTTGTCTAACAACCCTCTTACTACAATCGGTATCAAACGTTGCATAAGAATGTGATGGTCATGTGATTTCAACCCGATAATGTTAGTATTGGTATCGTTCACTTTCTTACTAATGTTAGAACCAAACCCATCCGACAGTTTAGCATCTTTTATAAATTGACAAAAGAGTTATCAGCTAAATTTCGTGAAAGATTATCTTTCATGGGGTCTATGAAACTTGTCACCATTTTTTTGCAACCATTCATTTCTCTGAATGTTTAGAATTCTCAAGTCCTCCCATGTATTTGATGTGTCTTTACTTTTATCGTTCATTAGAAGAGTACCTAACAAACTCTCGTCCACATTTATCTGGACATGCATGAGATCTATGTTGTGTTTCAACTGTAGAGAAGACCAATACTAGAGTTCGAAGAAAATGCTTCGTTTCGATCAATTCAACTTGTCATCATGCCGCTTTGGCTCCCCACCTCCATGCTCAGGATGTTTACCCAGGAAAGTACTGTAACACCTTATGAGCTACTTTCTTACCCTTGGTTTTTTTATCGATCCATCAACTCTCTTTACAAACGGGACAAACTTGCAATGAATTGTGTTGTTTCCAAAAGAGAAAACAATCGTTTTTGCACACATGTATCGACTCATAACCCAGACCAATAGAATTCAATTTCTATTTGGCTAGATAATGTGACAGGGGAACTTGTTGGCTTTAGGAAATGCTAATTGCAACAACTCAAGGAGTTGATCAAATGAACGATCAGTCCATTTGTTATTCACCTTGATATGCATTAACTTTGCTAGAAACTCAAGGGAAGAAAAGGTGCAACCAGGATACAATTTAGTTTTCACTTGTTCTAACAACTGTGAAAAATCATCATCCACACCGCTACCCTTTGTATTCGAGGTTCCTTCATCGAGGTTGGTATCATTTTTCTCGACTCCCACATCACATCGTCGATTAAATCGGCCATTTTGTTACTTGACAAGAAGACTAAAGGAATAAAAGATTCACCATGATAGATCTAAATTTTGTACGACTTACTGAAACCATTTATAAATATATGGCTTTAATGAAGTTATTGTTTCCTTAATCTTTAAAAACCCACAATACCCTCATTCTAAGC